AGCCCCCAGCTCCCTTGTGACACCGCCCCTCCCACTGCTTTTCTCTCTCTCCCTTCCCAGCTGGTCCTCCTCGTCCATTTCTTTCTTTTTGTCTTCTCCTTTTGTTTGTGTTTGACCCAATGAGTTTACTTAGGGTTGCTTTCAGGAGCATGGGTGACAGGTTATTTATAGGAACACAGGCACCCGCCAGTGCTTACACCACTGGAGAAAATGTCTCTCCCTCTCCCAACCCTCTATAGATCATTGGCCCTCTGTGGATCCTCAGGGGTGGGTAGGGCCTCTAAATTCCTGATGATCTCAATCTTATGCAGGCTTTATGCTCATAATCACAACTGCTGAGAGTTTAAGAAAGCAATGTCAAGCTGGGTGTGGGGGCCCAAGTTTTTAATCTCAGCACTCAGAACTGTAGGAATCAACCTGCCTCTGCTGCCTATCTACATAGAGTTCAAGGCCAGCAAAGGCTACTTAGTAAGACCCTGCCTCGAAAGAAAGAAAGACAGGAAAGGAAGTCAATGTACATGTCATGTCAGGATAACAGCTTTTTTTTTTTTTTTTGGTTTTTCGAGACAGGGTTTCTCTGTGTAGTCCTGGCTGTCCTGGAACTCACTCTGTAGACCAGGCTGGCCTGGAACTCAGAAATCCACCTGCCTCTGCCTCCCAAGTGCTGGGATTAAAGGCGTGTGCCACCACCGCCCAGCAGGATAACAGCTCTTTACTCAAAAGATTTTTTGAAATGTACATATGTATATCTGCTCTGTAAAGGTATATGAGAATACAGGTGTCCTGGTGCCTGTGGAGGCCAGAAGACAGCATCAGATCCCCTGCATCTGGAGTTACAAGTGATTGTGGGCTATCTAACATGGGTGCTAGGAACTAAACGCATATCCTCCAAAAGAGCAGAAAACACATTATTGACTTTTGAGCCATCTCTCCAGTCCCCTTAACAGACTTTTTTTTTTTTTTTTGGTTTTTTGAGACAGGGTTTCTCTGTGTAGCCCTGGCTGTCCTGGAACTCACTCTGTAGACCAGGCTGGCCTCGAACTCAGAAATCCACCTGCCTCTGCCTCCCAAGTGCTGGGATTAAAGGCGTGCGCCACCACCGCCCGGCCCCTTAACAGACTTTTAAAAAAAGATACATTTTTATTTTATTTTATTTTATTTTATTTTATTTTATGTGTATTGGAGTTTTGTCTGCATGTATGTCTGTGTGAGGATATCAGATCAGCTGGGACTAGAGCTACAGACAGTTGTGAGCTGCCATGGAGGTATCGGAAATTGAACCCAGGTCCTCTGAAAGAGCAGTCAGTTCTCTTAATGGATAAGCCACCTCTTCAGCCACACCCCCCAATAGTGTTCTAAAGATTATTTGGATTGTGAGGCATGTTGCCACTCTTTGCCTGGCTTTGCATGGTCACACCCATACCTGTACAGCCTTGACCTGACAGAGGTACAACCATCTGTAATTCTCAGTTCCAGAGGATTTCCTGCTCTCCATGGCTTCCTCATAGACCAGGCACACAAGTGTGCAGACAGCCATGATGCCAAATACTTATACATGCAGCATAATAAAAACATTTTTAATTAAAAAAGTATTTTATTCAGGGGTGGTGACCTACACCTTTAATCCCAGCAAAGGAAACAGAGGCAGGTGGATCTCAGTGAGTTCAAGGCCATCCTGATCTCTATAGTAAGTTCGAGGCCAGCCAGAGTTACATAGTGAGACCCTGTCTCAAAATAAAAACAAAAACTTTTGGTTTTGAGGGTGGACAAGTTGGCTCAGTAGGTAAAGGTGCCTCCTGCTAAGCTTGATGATTTGAGTTTGATCCCCAGGACCCACTTGGTGGAAAGAGGGAGCCAACTGCCACAGTTGGTCTGCTGACCCCCACAAGCACACCATGGCAGGTACTCATGCATGGACGAATGCATGCACATATCTATTCACACAAAATAAATAAATGAAACCTAATTTGTTAGAACAAGAACGTTTAACTTGTCCTCAGCTTCCTTTGGGCACACCGTTGGAAGTTCAGCCTTTTCTGTTCAGTTCCCTTTGCGGGCTCTTTCAGGAAACAACCCAGGATTGATCTGGGCAGGAGGGTCTCTGAATGAGAATGTTAAGGTACAAGGCATCACCTTGCATTTAGTCATGGAAGATTTTAGGAGCTAGAAGCTCCATAACTTTGTTGCCCTTCTGTGGAGGCTTCCAGAAATCTGGACTTGGAAGGTAATAAATTACAAGGGAACTGCTTTAGGATACCCATCTGCTGGGGCTGGACCGGTGGATCAGCGGTTAAGAGCACTGCCACTCTTCCAGAGGACCTGGGTTCGATTCCCAGAAGTAGCACACTTGCCTAACAGGCATTAGGTTCAGTCCTCAGAAACATGTACACACATACACCCCATAGATACTTAGAGCAGGGATGATGTGTGTTATGCTTACTAGGTTTCCTTTCAGCCTGTAAAATGCACAGCTCTGCACCCCCACCCCACCCCCATTCCCCGTTACTCTCCCCCACCTTTGTCAACAGTTTTCATCTACTCTTCCTAACAGGGTTCTTGAAAGAATTAGTCTGCATGCATACTCCTCACTTTGACACAGAAATTGAATTTCACTGATTTTATCACAAGGAAATAGAGAGAGCCACATACAAAGGGTTATATGTGTAGGGTGCTTGTTATAATCTTAGTACAATAATAAACACAGGAAACAACCTAAATAATTGATCATGTGAAACTTTTTAAAAAATAAATCCAAAGCTTAGGAAATGGCTCACTGGGTAAGAATGCTTCCTGAATTTCAAAACCAGAGTATCCATATTTAAAAAAAGTGCAAGCATGGCTGCACATGCCTGTAACCCCAACATGCAGTGTGTAAAGTCGGGTTTACTGGCTGCGAGCCTAACTCTCGGATTATCGAGAAACCCTGACTCTAAGGACTCCCAGCGTCCTCTCTGGCTACCATGCATATGCATAGGTACATGCTCCTTCATATGTGTGTATCCCTAACACAATCACACAGACACACACAACATCACAATCAACTCTAAGTTAGCAATTGCTTTCACGCTGCAGATATCAGAAGCACCACTATGGTAGAAGCCACCGTGCCACCTGAGACTGTATGTGGCTGACTCTCCAGAGCCCTCAGTGTCCATGTCCCCCTGTGTCACTCTGCTGCATCTGTCTTTCATACCTGATTATTCTCTGGACCAAAATTGCTAGTATAATTCTAGTCAGCATGTGTAAACTCCAGCTATCAGGAAGAAAGACTGTACAAAGAAAACTGGGCACAGGTCATTCATCAACTGTTTCTTTAGAGTCCAAAGACTGCCTCCAACACACCTGTTCTGCCAGCACTGTTACCAAAGCAGAACTCTTACTCTAAAGAGAAGGCAGAAACTGGGCAAAGGTTATGCCTAGACCTAGGCTTTGTCCTAATTAGAAGTGCACTATCAGCAAAGGATAACTCATTTGGTTTGAAAGGAGTGTGTGTGTGTTTGCTTGATTTGGGGGGGGGGTCTTTTGTTTCTTTCTTTCTTTCTTTTTTTTTGTTGTTGTTTTGTTTTGTTTTTCGAGACAGGGTTTCTCTGTATAGCCCTGGCTGTCCTGGAACTCACTCTGTAGACCAGGCTGGCCTCGAACTCAGAAATCCACCTGCCTCTGCCTCCCAAGTGCTGGGATTAAAGGTGTGTGCCACCACCGCCCAGCTAAGATCTGTTTTAAAAGTGCCATCTTTTTAAGTTCTCACCAAGAGGCCAGTATAACTTCCTTTGGCTTAGCCAGATGAAAGGTATATCACAACCATCTGATGTGCATTAGTGAAAGTGCCTTGCACATGGGAGGCACGGGTTCTTACCGTTCGTTTCAATACATTCTCCTCAGTATGAATTATACCAAGTACAAAAGAAATAGCATTATTATTATATATTTTACTTTAGATAGATATAATACAGGCCATAGTTTATGGAAAGGGACAGTGAAGGTTCTTAAACATAAGAATAGTCTACAGTAAAGGATTTGTCTTTGCCCTTGTCTTCTGGGAAATGAGCTGTGTTGTAGCTGGCAGTCTTGGCTTGGGTGCACTTTGGGCAATATGGTATCAGTCACATGTAGGCTGAGATCAACCATAGACAACCAGTCGGTCACTACTAAAACTCTGAACACCAAAGCTTGGTTGAACTCTCCTGGTTGACAGTGCTCCCATGTATTGCCACATACTGAAGGTGGGCTGACATGTCCTGCTTCCACAGGAAGCACAGTGGGACCTCTGCATCTGAAAACATCTGCATGCCTGACTCTACCTTAGGCATCTCTCTAAGCCCAGCCTCTACTTGAAGGCTCTCTGTCATGCTCACATGCAGGGACATCCAAGTGTGCTAACAGAGCTGGGCTCTCCATAGAAAGCCGGGGGAGCTGGGTAGAGGTGGCCAATGGATCAATTTAGTGATGAGACTCCTGTGTCATTTTCCTGTTGAAAACCATGTAACTCTCCTTGGTCCAGAATTCTAAGGTCAGTTATTGACCCTCACCATAGAAAGGTGTGTTGGCAACCTTCCTGGTAAGGAGCAAGGAATGCTGTGTGTGTCGTATGTGATGGGCATGGGTTTCTTGTAGTCTCCTGTATGTAAACCTTACTTCTTTACCTGACATCTGAGCACGTGAAGAGGAGAGAGCTCCCCAGCGCTGACAGAATTCCTCACAAAGCTGAACACACAGCCGCTGGGTCTCAAAAGATTATTCCAGCCCAGGTGGTGGAGATGATGGTGATAGTTGTGGTGGTGGCAGCAATGGGACATGCCTTTACTCCCAGCACTCAGGAGGCAGAGGAAGGTGGATCTCTCTGTGAGTTTGAGGCCAGCCTAGTCTACAGAGCAAGTTCTAGGATACCCAGGGCTATACAGAAAAACCCTGTCTTGAAAAACAAAGAAAAAGGAAAAAAATACCAAAAAAAAAAAGTTATTCCACCTTGAGAAGGGTTCTTGTGTGCTTCTCTCTTGCAGGGAGTTTCCAGATGATCCAGAAGTGCAGTGGGACACGGAGCATGTGTCCAGCACCCTCCTCCAGCACATACATGCCAATGGCACCAACCTGGTAAGGGAGTGCCACTCCCAGTGGAAAGCCCGGGGTCTCCATCCTGTCACAGCCTCATGGCTGCCTCCTACTCCCAGCTCTGTTCCACACACTCTAAAAGGCTCTGTGCCAAGCCCACTGAAGGGCAGCCATGCCCTTCAATTCCCTTCCATCTTATGTGTGACGGAGTGAATAAGTTCTCAACCCTCAGGCTTGAGAAGATTTTGTTTTGTTTTGTTTTGTTTTGTTTTGTTTTGTTTGTTTGTTTGTTTGTTTTCGAGACAGAGTTTCTCTGTATAGCCCTGGCTGTCCTGGAACTCACTCTGTAGACCAGGCTGGCCTCAAACTCAGAAATCTGCCTGCCTCTGCCTCCCAAGTACTGAGATTAAAGGCGTGCGCCACCACTGCCTGGCAAGAAGAGCATTGCTCAAACTGTGTCCTGCCTCCTGAAACCTTTCTCCTGAAAATTCAGTACCCCAGGAACCTGCACAAAACTCTCCCTGACAGAACTAGTCCCAATTGGCTTCCCAGTTAGGGGTGCAGTCTCACCTTGAAGATGAAAGTTGTAAATGCTGGGGCTGGAGAGATGGCTCAATGGTTAAGAGCACTCTTCCAGTAAACCTGGGTTCAGTTCCCAGCACCCACAAGGCAACTCATAACTGCTTTAACTCAAGTTTCGGGGATATGACACCTTCATGCAGACATACATGCAGGCAAAACATGAATGCAGATGAAATAAAAATAAAGATCAAGGGTTGGCGGCTTCCACAGACATATAGGTAAGTAGGGGTTCCGCAGATCTCACCCAGAGCGTTAGGCATAAGTCCCAGGTCTGTCAGTGAGCTACATTCCCAGTTCTGAAGCTGTGATATTTAAGCCTCCTTTTTATTTGTTTGTTTGTGACACAGTCTCACTGTGTAGACCAGGTTAGCCTTGAAACTCAAAGAGATCAACATGGAGTGCTGGGATTAAAACCATGCACCACCATGCCCAGCTAGCCTCCATTTCTTTTTTTAAAAATGAGGATAAATTCATACTCACTTAATAAGGACAATTTCAGTCACCATTAGAACAGTAATGGAGATTCATGTTTGCTTGCAAAGGTGAACAAAGCCATCTTGCTCTCTTAGGACTAGCAGGTTAGGGTTCAGCCACAGTCAATTCTGTCCTGTCCCATCTCCAATGCCCCACTCCTCCACTTCCCTCCCACCCTGTCCAGTCCTGTCCTCTCCTGTCCTCTCTTGCCCTGTCCTCTCCTGTTCTGCCCTGCCCTGCCCTGCCCTGCCCTGCCTGCCCTGCCCTGCCCTGCCCTGCCCTGCCCTGTCCTGTCCTGTCCTGTCCTGTCCTGTCCTATCCATTTATTATTGACAGGATCTATGGCCCTGGCTGTCCTGGAACTCTCTCTGTAGACCAGCCTGGCCTGAAACACACAGAAATCTTCCTGCCTCTGCCTCCCCAGTACTAGAATTAAAGGTGTGCATGACCACACCTGACCATAACAGCCCAATTTAGAGCTGCCAGGGTTTACTTTCTGAAACTCAAAATACTCAAAATAGGAATCCCTCATAGGTTAACAGTTAAAATTTCATTATTCAAAGTCTATTCATTTGAGTAGACTTTTATTAAAAGATAGAGCATGCTGGTTGATCGGGCTAGTCTATCTATGACCCATTCATTGAGTAAACTGATACATTAGACCTTTGCGGGGGGGGGGGGGGGGAGACATTGAGACAGAGTTTCTCTGTGTGGCCCTGGATGTCCTAGAACTCACTCTGTAGACCAGGGTGGCTTTGAACTCACAGAGATCCACCTGCCTGCCTCCTGAGTGCTGGGATTAAAGGCGTGCACTGCTGTCACTGCTAGACCTTCCATTTTTAAAGACTCTTTGTTGTTGATGTTATGTGTATGCTTGAGCCTAGGTGAGTTTATGTGTACTATCTGTATGCAGAAGCCCATGGAGGCCAGAAAAGGGTGTTGGGTCCCCTGGAACTAGAGTTACAGGTGGTTGTGAGCTGCATATGGGTGCTAAGATTAGAACCTGGGTCTCCTGGAGGAGCAGTAAGCGTTCTTAGCCACTGAGCTATCTTTTTGCCTCAGCACCCTGCTTTCTTACGGCAGTGGCTTTCCCAGGACTAACTGCAGTCCTGGTCCTCGTCAGAGAGTGTTAGAGCTGTTGGCCATACTGCTCAGTCCATTTGTAGGGGAAATTCATCATTTCAGACTTGGGAGTCATGGTCTTTCTTGATCTGGCCCTTACAATCCTGAACATGGAAGAACAGGGTCTGTCTTCATTGAAAAGCTGAGTTTCTTGTATAGCAGCTCCAGGTTAGAAAGGACTCTCAGCAGAGTGGGGGATTACAGGCACAAGCAACGTGTCCCATATCTTCTTCCTCCTCCATCTGCAAAGAAATTGTACCAACTTCTGCTTGTCACATGGCCTTCTCCCCTGACCCTCTGTGCCTCCATTTTTAAGGACCGTCATGATTACATTGAGCCCACCACTCCATCCAGAATAGCTTCTCCATCTTGAAATCTTTAATCACATTTGTAAAATCCCTTTTCTACATGAAGTAACAACTCGGGTTCCAGGGAAATAGGACATAGATAACAGACATATTAAGCCTACAAGCAGCCTTACTCCATAGCCTTCATTCACATGGGATAGGAGCCCAATAACTTTGATGGTTTGAGACCAATGAATGGTAGGACGCTTATGCCAGGAAGCTTTGGAGTTTCAGGGCTGAGGTTCTAGCCCAGGTAAGTACTTACCTAATATGCACAAGTCCCCTGGGTTTGAATCCCAGCAATGCAAAAACCAAGGAAGAAGGAAAAAGTGCTTCTTAGTTTTGACAAAGTGGAACATTTATCCCAGCTGTGAAGCCCTTCTCTTCACCATCATGACACTATCTAAGGAATGCCCTGGTAGGCACTAATGCCTTATGGCGTTCCTGAAGACGGAGACCCGGCTCTCACAGAAGTCAGGGCCTTTCCCTGTAAATAGAAAGACCAAGCCTGGCGCATTGGTACTGGTCTATAATCTTATCGCCTGGGAGGTAGACGCATGGAGACCAGGAGTGTAAGGCCAGTCTCAGCTACACAGAGAGTTCAAGGCAAGGCCAGGTGCATGAGCCACCTCAAAGAAAAAAAAATATAATCAGAAAAGAAATAGAGCATGAGTGACTCTTTCCCAATTCCAGTTCTAACCCCTTCATCTGTGTGGCTGGGACACTTTCTGTCCTTGGGAACAGCCCTTCTCTTTCCATCAGCCTCTAACCAACTGTCTCTAGTCCCTTTCCTGAATCCTTGTTTTCTTGTTTCTTTCATTCATGGGTTTTTTTTTGTTGTTTCATGCTTATGTATTTGTGTGTTTGTGATGTATGTGGGTGCACACTCACCTACAGCAGAGATATCCTGAGCCTTGGAGCCACGAAAGCTTGACTTTGATCTCTACAGCTCATGTAGGAAACAAACAAACCAAAAGCCAGGCATGGCACTGTGTGTTTATGGTCCCAGTACTGGGGAAACAGTCAGGCAGATCCCTGGGATTTGCCAGACTAGCCTGATCAGCAAGACCCTATCTCAAAAACAAGATGGGTAGCTCCTGGGGAGCAGCACCTGCAGTTCTCTGGTCCCCAAGCGTGCATTCTTGCACGTGCAACAACTCTGTTGTACTGCCAGGACAAGAATGAACCTTAAAAGTCACAGCTGCCAGCCGGGTGGTGGTGGCACACGCCTTTAATCCCAGCACTTAGGAGGCAGAAGCACTTGGGAGGCAGAGTTCGAGGCCAGCTCTACAGAATGAGTTCCAGGACAGCCAGGGCTATACAGAGAAACCCTGTCTCGAAAAACCAAAAAAAAAAAAAAAGAGTCACAGCTGCCACACACAGATCTAACCGCTCAGAAGCTGCTTCAGCTGCTCAGAATCTAAAAGTGCTGGGCAGTGGTGGTGCACGCCTTTGATCCCAGAGGCCAGCCTGGTCCAGAGTAGCCAGGTATACTGAGAGAAAACCCGAATTAAAAAACCAAAAAACTAGCCAGGCAGTGGTGGTACACGCCTTTAATCCCAGCACTTGGGAAGCAGAGGCAGGCAGATTTCTGAGTTTGAGGCCAGAGTCTACAGAGTAAGTTCCAGGACAGCCCAAGCTATAAAGAGAAACCCTGTCTCGAAAAACTAAAAACAAAAAACAAAAAAAAAAAAAAAAACCATAACTGACAAAAACAAAATTTGAAAAGTTTCAGGGTTCTGCTCTTTCTTTCCCCAAAGGAATGGTGAAGGCTACTTTGAAGCTGAGGCAGTGGGGAAGCCATTCAACACCTCTGAATGAGCCATTCCTCCTGGGTCTGTCCCTACAGGTGGTGACTTTTGATGCAGAAGGAGTCAGTGGTCACAGCAACCATATTGCTCTGTACAAAGCTGTGAGGTATGCTTCTCTGGGTGATGGAAGGGTTTCTCCATTTGCTCAAGAGTCACAGTTACTAAGCACTTCCTGCCTGTTGTCTGTACCCCAGAAAACCTACTCCTGTGTCATGTACAGTCCTTGTTGCTCTATTGCTCGTCTGCCTCACCACATCCTTTTTTTCTTATAACATGTATGGGTGTTTTATTTTCACGTATGTCCACCCTTCAGTGAGGTGCCTCCGTGAGGCTCCCATGCAGGCAAACCTGACCTGACAACTCCCCAGCCCTGTCTTCAATTGTATGTAACCTTGAAAGATACCAGATATTATTGCTCTCATAATTTTTTTCCCAGACAGTTCATCCTGATTCTTTGACTGTGGAATGATGGGAGGCCATACTCCTCTCCTCTCTTGTAAAAATCACTTGCTTTGTGGCCCAATAGAGGCCACCGATAGAGCTATGTATTGTCAGTTGCATTAGGTTCATTCACAGTCAAGAAAGACACACCATAGGTTAAAGTAGAAGATGCAGTTTTCTGGTAAAGATACACAGAAAAGTGAACGGACTTTTAGCCAAATGGTTATTCTAAGGACTGGGCTGCTGGAAAGCAAATCATTGGGTAGGAACAGGGAGTCCACTTCATTCCAGGTCCACATAGAACTTTATTAATTTGTACTCAGGTATTCACAAAAAAGAAAAACAAAAAAACAAAAGAATCAGACAAAGTTTACTTCAAAATCCAGGAGCACTTCATCAGAAAGTGGATAGGATCCGTGAGTGGGTCTTGGCTAGTTTCAACTCTGCTTGTGCTGGTGGCTTTTGGTCAGTTTGACACAAGCTGGAGCCATCTGGGAAGAGGGAACGTCAATCAAGAAAAAGCCTCCATCAAATTGACCTGTAGGCAAGTGTCGGGTGCATTTTCTTATTTGATGATTGATGTGGAAGGATCCAGCCAACTGTGGGTGGACAGGTGGACCTTGGTGTATAAGGAAGCAAGCTGAGCAAGCCATGAGGAGCAAGCCAGGAAGCAGCACCCCTCCATGGCCTCTGCTTCAGTTCCTCCTTCAGGTTCCTGTTTCAGTTCTTGCCCTGACTTTCCTCAGTGATGGACTGTGATCTGGGAGTTTTAAGTTGAAATAAACCCTCTCCTCCCAAAGTTGCTTTTGTTCATGGTCTTTATCGTGGCAGCAAAAAGCTAACTAGGACATTAATCGATTTTTAGAGAAAAAAAAATTGAGGGTAGTTATTCTCATCTCTAATGGGCAAAACTTGAGGCCAGTTTATTCCATAATCCATAGACCAACTTCTGGATTAAGCTGTGTGGGAATGAAGTGCCCACCCTGGCCCCCTCAGCCATAGCCAAAGGTATGAAATCCTATAGATTTAGATGTTGACTTATGCAATAGAAACCGCTGGGAGTCTGGGCTTGGTTGGGGCATGGGCCATGCAGGCCTTGCTCGGAAGGTCCCTCCTGTTTATACAGAGGAATAGGTGTCTCATGTTCTCTCTAATGCTTGTCCTCTCCATCCTCCAGGGCCCTGCACTCAGGAGGGAAGCTGCCTAAAGGTAAAGAAGGCTTATTTTGTTTTTAGGGTTTCTGTTTTTTGCAAATAGACAACAGTCACTACTGCTCTAAGAAAGTTACCAAGGACATTTGCAGACATTGTGAGCCCTCCATGTCTATCCATTTCTATGTATCTATATCTATGGACTTAACACCATGGGAGTAAAATTATTCAAGGAGACGCTAGAGACCTGGCTCCCCAGTTAAAAGCACTGTTCTTGCAGAGGACCTGGGCTCAGTTCTCAGTACCCATATCAGGCAGACCACATCAACTTTTTTTGTTTTTTTGTTTTTTTGTTTTTTTGTTTTTTTTTTTTTTTCGAGACAGGGTTTCTCCGTATAGCCCTGGCTGTCCTGGAACTCACTCTGTAGACCAGGCTGGCCTCGAACTCAGAAATCCGCCTGCCTCTGCCTCCCAAGTGCTGGGATTAAAGGGGTGCACCACCACCGCCCGGCGATCACAACAATCTTTAATACCAGTTCCAGGGCAGTCAGACATCTGATGCATGAATGTGGTGCACATAAACTCAGGCAAGCACATGCATACACAAAAATATAGAAGGAGAAAAAATGGCGCCTGTACTGAACATGCAAAGTCTTTTCTCCTCATTAGTCCTAGACAATGCAATACAGCAACTATTTCCACAGCACTTTTACTCATATTAGAGATTGTAAGTAACCTGGAGATGAAGTAATGTATACAAGAGGATGCAGGTAGGTTCTATGTAAAACCTGAGTCATTTTATGTCAACTTGGGCATCTGTAATTGAAGTATTTGTGGCAGTCCTAGAACAGTACTGCTGGGGACTGAAGGACATCTACACAGAGTAGCCCTAGACTGTGTAAGGTGTCCATGGCAGGTTCAGACTGTATCTATTGACAAGTGCCCTATCTAGTTTCCTCACAGGAAACTTCTCTGAGTAAGTTTTGGACTGGCCTGCATCACAGGGTGACATGGGATCAGAAAGTGAAACATAGGAGATGAGTGCTATCTTCACAGACTGAGGCCTTAGAAGCATCACTGGCCACCCTTGACTCTCCGTCCACCATGTGAGATGGACAGGCCTACACTGTCAACACCACTTTATCAACTAGGAAGCTAAATTCCAGAGCAGTTAAGGGACTTCCGTTGCTAAATGTTTTCAGAGATGGGGTGCCAAGGACCAGCCTCCACCTGGACACTGGTCATTGGTTCTGAGAGAAGGTGTCTCTGGGAGCAGGTGAAACAAACAAAGCTAAGTCAAATCATGGGTCCAAGCTGGCAGCCTATATTCTGCTCGAGACAGCTTTCCAGTCTGCTTTCTCTCTGTTTGTCCTTCTCTGGAGATCTTTAGCCAGTTCTCACTGAGTTGTTTGTGCTGGTTCTCCAAGCAGTTCTCTTGCTATTCTAAAAATGTCTCTGGATAGTTATCTCCTGCAGATCTTAAGCCCAGTCTTTTATTTTACATACCAATCCAGTCCTTGACTCCAGACTTCCTTTTGATTATCCTATGAATCAGCATCCCATGACCCCAGCAGTTTGATCTTCCCCTGTCACTCAGCACATTTCTTTTTTTAAGGTTACAAAAGAATTCAGAGATCTGCCTGCCTCTGTTAAGCAAGACAACAAACTAGTAGGGTGGGACTCCACCCAAAAATTACCATTTCTACCACACCTGGGAGAGGACCTAAATTCCTTGTCCCAGGCTGACCTTGAACTCCAGAAGCATAAACAACAACAACAGCAAAACTTAACTGGGTAGGATCACCACTTCCTAGATCTCTTTATCTCCTTCCTAAGTATCTGACTAGTCGGCTCACAGCACAGCTGCCTGGGTTCCTTTAGGTCTGTGAAGCTCCTTGCACGATTCATGTTGCATCCTTATATGTTGCACAGTTGAGAAATTATGTATTTTGAACTCATGGTTTCAGAGTTCTTTTCACAGCCTTAAGGGCTGTCCTGAAGGTCCCAGCATTTACTATTTTGCTGAGACATTAGCCACACCTATGCTTCCCAGACTACTGCTGTCTCTGAATATCTCTGGAGTCATTAACATTAACAGGAGGATATTCAACTAGGAGGAACAGAGAAATGCAAAAATATGTACATTATTATACAAAATCCTTCTGCCCTCAGCAGCCGTTGATGTGGAGGCCTTTGCCCTGTGGGTTCTGATCCGGAAGTGGGAACCATGTCATTCCACCCCTACCAAGGCTGTGGCAGACCCGGCAATGGGGTCTCTCTCTGAAGCCTAGGCTGGCCTCACATTGATGGCAGTCCACCTGTCTCTGCCTTCCAAGTGCTGGAATAGCCCCTGATGTCAGAGCACAGCTGGAATGAGTCTTTGGTCTCCCAACTCAGAAATTCCTGTCTGTCATCTTTCCTCCAGTAGCCTCCAGTAGCCTCTTCCTCTTGCAAGGACACTCACAGCTGTGGAGCACTTCTGCCACCTGGCAGTCCTCCCATGTGGGAGAATTCTGGTCAGAGAACAACTCTGGTGCCACAAGGCACCTGGCAAAACAGCAACTGCCCCGCCTGCTTTGAGCCACCAGGAGAGGGAGGATGCTCAGGGAGCACCTGGCTAAGAGCAGCACAGTGACCCATCTGCCATCCCTCCTTGCACAGGATGCTCTGTTCTCACGCTCCAGTCTGTGAACGTGCTTCGGAAGTATGTCTTCCTCCTGGACCTGCCCTGGACTCTACTGTCGCCCCAGGATGTTCTCTTTGTGCTCACCAGCAAAGAGGTGGCACAGGCCAAGGTAAGATATGTATTTCCTGGACACCGCACTGTGACCCCAACCTCACGTCCCTTGGCTCTTCAAAGCTGTGCTACCTGCAAAAGCACTCTACACAAGGACCAACACTGCCCCATGTGCTAGATTAATCCAGCTACACCTGACTGGAATACCTTTTCAATGACTTGGGCTTTTTTTTTTTTTTTTCAGATTATAAAATTTATAAGTAAATAATTATTTGAGTACATGCTCATTTTAAAAAACTTAGAAATACATACAATCATCAGTAAAATGAAAACAAACAGCTGGAGAGTTGGCTCAGTGGTGGTGGTTAAGAACACTCGATGCTCCAGTAGAGGATCTGGTTCCTGCAACCACAACCATCTGTAACTCCAGGTCCAGGGGATCTGTCGCCCCCTTTTGGCCTCTGTGGGTACTGCACACAAGGGGCGCATGCATATACACACTCTCAAGCACTGACATACATATAAATCTAAGAAAAAATAAAGCTGGAAGTGGGGAAGGTAAGAGGGAAGGTCTGCAAATAATAGTCCCAGAGTGAGTGCCATCATGTCTTCTCTTATTCTTCCAGAAAGCCATGTCCTGCCACCACAGTCAACTCCTCTGGTTCCGCCACCTCTACATCCTCTTCTCCAGATACATGAGAATCAACTCACTGCAGTTCCTCTGAAGCCTCGAAGAATTGTCAGAGCCTCAGATCAAAAGAGAGAAGCAGAGCAAGAAGTCCCCTGGCCAGGCTTTGGACTGACTTACCTGCTTGACCCGGGGAAACCCCAGCAAAGCAGCCTCTGTCAATCAGGGACCGCGAGGACAAAGGATCACTTCCAATCCACCTTCCTCTGCTGGGGAAAACTCGCAAAACCACACCTACACTAACACAATAATAGCTACCCCGCTAATTTACATAGTTTGTGTGATAACAGAGTTGCACCAGACATCTAGCAAAGCCGACGTAGGTTGCCTTTACCATAAATGAGCGTAAATGAGCCATAGAACTAGTTCGCAGGTGTGATTTTTTACATTGCTTCCAGACCAGGCTGGTTTGGTCAGTCTTCTGTTTCTGCAGCTGAAACACCACACACAGGGCATCTGCTGAGCTGCGGTTTATGGTTTACTTGGATCAGGGTTCTGAAGCCTGTGACATGCAAGAGCAAAGCAGCCTCTACCTGACAGCTCAAGGTGAGAGGCCTCCCTCTGCATCTCACAGGCAAAGGCAGTCAGTCACTGGGAGACAGAGCCCGTGAGCCAGAGTGCTCCTTTAGAACAACCACGCCTACAACAGTGCCCACTCACCTCCAAAAGGCCTCACCCTGAACACTGGGGCTTTGAAGAGACATGAATTCCAGGGGACCCAGCCAAACCCTAGTACAGACTCATCACAGACCACCCCACACACAAACCTCAACACACACACAATCTTCACGTGCTTCAACCGTAATTCCTTGGAGTTTTGTGTCCCCCTTACAAGAACTTTACAGTCTAGGGAAGCTGTACCTTATCACCATGGTGGCTCTGATGTGTGTGAAGATGATCCTGTGGGTCCTCCCTTTAAAGAGCCAATAAACATCTTGGTTCTCTGCCTTTTCAAAGTAGGAGCTGGGCCCACACCTTTAATCCTGGCACTTGGAGGCAGACACAGATGGATCTCTGTGAGTTTGAGGCCAGCCTGATCTAAATAGTGAGCTCCAGAACAACCAGGACTCACAGAGAAAGACCCTATCTCAAAATAATACTAATAATAACAACAATAATAACAATAAATTTTAGAAAAAAGAAAATGGAAAGAAAAGATAAACATTGTTCTGGTAGTGAAATAGTACAAAATAAAGTATGGAAGCTGGGTGTAGTGGTATATGTCTTTAATCCCAGCATTCAGAAGGCAGAGACAGGTGGATATCTGTAAGTTTGTGGCCAGCCAGCCTGGTCTACATTGTGAGTTCCAAGACAGCCAGAGATATATAGTGAGACTCTTAAAAAAGTAAAAATTAACCTCAAATAAACACGAGTATTTGAATAGGACAGATAGCGATAAAATGATGCTTACATAAAGCAACATATCCACATGTAAAAATCTACATGATAATGGACAAATAATTTACTTAACATAATTTGTTTGGGGAAAAACTATTTCTATACCCACTTAGGTAAACAAGCAGAGGCCTCCTCATGCCTGTAGAGCCTGTCTCTGAAGATTCGTTTTGTACTGTGTTCCTGCACTGAGTCCTCTGCAAGTCTGGTTCACTGATTATCAACGATACAGAGGTTGAAAGGCTGCATGTCAGAACCAAGTTATACTGGGATGTCCTTAGACACCTTAACATCTGTGTGCTCCCCACTTCTATATCTGACTTAACATCTTTGTGACTCTTGGGTAAACACTTGGGAATATAGAAGCAGCTCCTTAGTTCTCACCAACAAAAGGCTAAGGATTCTTTCAGACAGCATCTGAGGCCTACAGCTGAGACTCCTTGCTTTCCTGTGATCCTCCTACCTGATATTCCAACTCTGTGTGTGAGGTGTGCCCATGTATGACTGTGTGTGTGTGTGTGTGTGTGTGTAGTGCCCATGTATGATTGTGTGTGAGAAGTGACCATGTATGGCTGTGTGTGTGTGAGAAGTGCCCATGTATGACTGTGTGTGAGAAGTGACCATGTATGACTTAAGTGGTCCTGCTGCTACAAAACCTCATGGAACTGTTTCCACATTGGAACATGGAACTGGGGTAACCTGAATGTATGACCTTGGACACTGGCACATGCTTCACCCCAGGATAAACTACCTCATGTTCTCTTTGAAGTGAGAACTGTTATTTTGTTGGCAATATCCTTTGAGTTTTTTTATAATATACACACAGTACAACCTATGAAAAATGTTTTTAATCTTAGACATTAAAAAGATGCATAAAAGAATTCCAATGATTTGAGAATTATTTTGTGCCTGTTTGTATTTAGTTTACTATATATTCACAAAGTAAGAGGTTGGGGATGGTAGCTCAGTTGGGAGAATATTTGCCTAGGTTTGGTCTCCAGCACAGTATAGATGTGTGTGTCAACACTTGGGCACTGGAGCAGGAGGATCAGAAATCCAAAGTCATCTTCAACTACATAGTAAGTTTAAAACCAGGCTAAAGAAGACTTTCTTCAAAAATAAATACCATGTAAGCATCTAGAAGGGAATGTTTTATTGGTATGTTAACTTGCTGATTTGCCTGATGATGGTATTTCTCTCGTGAGCTCCTTCTGTGGGGCAGGGCTGCTGACAGAGTCTCCATTCATGACCCCACTTGACCTAAGAAAGTTTTACACATCCTCAGATATACAGGTATATAAATAAGTATAGAAATCCAGCATTTACTAATAGTAGTAAATCATAAAGAAATCTTTTAAAATAATTCCTTGGTATACATTGAATTTTACCACTTACCGAATACTGAATCTGCATGCTAAGATGGACATGATTATTTTACATAAAGAATTAAATTCTGGCTGAGTATCTGTTGCTCCAAGGCACAGCACCATCAACATTTTTTCAGAGATGACTGATATTTTGATTTTATAATCATTAGTTACAGTACCTATTCCCATAGATATATAGTATAAAATGACAGAAGTGTGTTTAGGGACATTTCAAAAATTGATGGAGATCCTGCCATAATTCCAGGCAAAAATCATTTAATGATTTCTTAGGAAATCATCAAACCAAACAGCAATTTAAATTTGTTTACATGTATTTGTGTGTGTGTGTGTGTGTGTGTGTGTGTGTGTGTGTGTACAACCTTCAGGAGTTTTGTTCTTCAAGCATGTGTTGTTCCAGGGACAGGCATGCACCTTTATCTGCTGAGCCATCTCACGGTTACAGATTCACTGTCAGACTTAAGCTCAGTGCTAATCCAGCCACATTCATCTGTAGGCTCATAGCTACTCACCCTCACTAGCTCTTCAAAAAGAAATTATTAGAATCAAACATTAAAGGGCTTGGAGAGATGGCTCAGCAATTAGCGCCCCCTGCTCTGGCAGAGGACTGGGTTCTGTCTGTTCTCAGCACCTACTTCGTGGCCTGGCCTGTAGTTGCCATTCCAGGGGATCCGCTCTCCTCTCCTACCCTCTATGGGTATCAGCCACATATATGGTGCTTATACATAAATGCAGACAAAACACTTATACATAGTAAATAAAAATCTAAAAAAAAAAAAAAAAACCTAAAATCAAACATTTTTTTTTTTTTTTTTCCTCGAGACAGGGTTTCTCAGTGTAGCCCTGGCTGTCCTGGAACTCACTCTGTAGACCAGGCTAGCCTCGAACTCTCGAACTCTCGAACTCAGAAATCCACCTGCCTCTGCCTTCCAAGTGCTGGGATTAAAGGCGTGCGCCACCACCGCCCAGCAAAATCAAACATTCTAACAATAACATTCCACTTGCTATGTTCATGCTGAAGGATCAGAGTTGAAAGATTAAGTATTGCTTTTCCAAAACTACACATTATGTTTCTACAAGAACAGAAAACTTTGTATGTAAAGTTAAAAAGAAAAAAGAAAGAAAGACTCGAAGTCTAGGACCTGAGCTGAGGCGTTCCAGCAGTACGTGTGGGGTTCTATGGGATGAGGGGCATACCTAGTGCACACACAGTGCACATCTTTGTGTTCAGAACAAGGTTGAAGTGAAGTCACACAACACAAAGGTTGAGCCAGAGATACTCAGTCGTTATACATTGGGTTCCTGGTTAATTTTGGTTAGTGTGAGTTTTCCTTCGCTGTGTCTTCAGGGAGATTTTCCTGCTCACACCCTCCATGACCCCATGTTCCCTCACACACAGGTCAACACCTACAACTCAGAGGCAGGACTCTGGACATCACAGCAGAAGACATGCATGGGCAACATGACCTTAAACATGCTCACTCTGGCTTCTGAAAAGCTTAGGAACTAATGTCTTCTTGGTGCTCAGAGAGTAAAAGACAGGAACTGGAGGGAAGGTGGCTCTTAAGGCCCCCCGGGGCAGCCACAGATGTTGGCAAATGTTGGCACCCTCAAGTAAAGTGTAGCCTGGGATAAGCTTATGACAAGAGGAAAGTGCCTTTCTACAAATGTTTAACACAGGTCTTTCTCCAGGTGGATACAGCCTCTCCCTGGAGGCAGGCATGGTAGGCAGAGATTTTAATTTCTGAGCACTGGGGAAGCAGAGGTAGGATGATCTAAGTTCATGTAACTGAGTTCCAGGACAGTTAGGACTACATAGAGAGACCTTGTCTCCCCAAGGGAATGAAGGTCCTTCCCAGGGACACAAACAGCCAGTTTGACAGACTATGCACTAATCAATCTAGGCCCCAGCCCCTGAGTCCGGGAGCTGATGTCAAAATTCCAGGGGTTCCTTCAGGAAAACAATCAGGTGAGGAGGAGAGATAGATCCCCCACACAAAACAAAACAAAAACTATCCCAGCCATTTTACCCTTTAGTCACTACTCAAGAACACTTCCTCATGAAAGAAGCAACACGCAAGAGCTACCAGATACAAACAAATGGAGGAGGCAGAAAAGAGTGGATTCCAGTCTGGGAGCAAATGTCACTACAGGAGCGAAGAGATTTTACAGTAATGAAAGCTTCAAAGCCGGTTTACACAGAACGTTGCTCTCAGTAGTGTCCAGGTTAGAAATCTGCAAAAGCATAGGGTATGGCCATGCATACCTAAAATTCTAGCGCTTGGAAGGCTGAGGCAGGAGGGTATCTATGAGTTCAAGGCCAGCCAGGTCTACATAAGAGTTTCAAGCCAGCTAAAGCTACATAGTGAGATCCTGTCTCAGTGTTAGGGTCTGAAAATCCAAAACAATGCAAGAAGGCACAAGAGTCCTTATCTGAATTAGGCAGCAGAGGCAGACAGGTCAGGAACAACAGACTCTGGAGCTGACTGCCCTTGAACGTTCATCTTAGTAAGCATTTAAGCAAATGCTTACAAAATTTTATTGTACTCAGGCCACTACTAATGGATCAGGGCCATAGAGCAGACTCAGGAGCTGAACTGCAACACCCTCCACCCTACCAGGAGCCAGAACATTACAGTTTTCCACCACAATCAGGATTTAGGGCTTCCTTTTTTTTTTTTTTTTTTTGAGACAGGGTTTCTCTGTATAGCCTGGGCTGTCCTGGAACTCTGTAGATGAGGCTGGCCTCGAACTCAGAAATCTGCCTGCCTCTGCCTCCCAAGTACTAGGATTAAAGGCGTGCACCACCACTGCCCAGCAATTTAGGACTTCCTTAGGAAGATGGCTTTGTGGTATACTTACCTTGTTCCCATTGGTTGGGTTTTTCAGCTGTGGGCAGGAAACTTGCCTAGCATTCAAGTCTCAACTTGCCAAGGAGCATGTCAGTTATCCAGGGAGGTCTTGGAAACTTAAACTTTATTTAACTCCTATTCAAAAGGTTTAAAAATGGCTTCAGTTTGGTTCTTTCTTACATCAACAATAAATAAATAAATAAATAAATAAATAAATAAATAAGGATGGATGGATGGATGGATGGATGGATTCATCTATAATAGCAAGTATATTGCAGGACATTTAATCGCATTATGAACCCTGAGATTGTGAACAGAAAAACATGT